GTGTTAACCTAGAAGAAACACAAAACGTGAACTCTTTTCTGTGGGCTGTTCTGCAATATTTGCACAGTCTGGGCTTATCCTGTGTCTGTCACCAAGTCCGAGAGCTTGAACGGACTTAGGTTCCCAGGACTTGAAAAATGCCAGGGCAGACATGCAGTCTCTAAGCAAAACCAAGAAGCACGCGATTAAAAACTTTGTTTGCACAGATGCGAAGGCATGGAAATTTATACAGCAAGGTCTGAGTTCCAAAGTTTGTTTGTTTTAATTACACACCCAACCAAATGCATAAAATTTCACAAAATGAGTGTCATGAAAATGTCATCTGTTCTATTTTTAGCCTGAAATATGGAGCTCTGAAAAGCAGGGCTGTCATAAATTTTCACACTTGGGGATAAGATGACTTCTAACCAGGGGGAAAAACACTCCCACACCCAGATCTAACAGTGGTAAACAGTTTTTATTCAGGCAATGAAACATGGAAAAAAATATATTAGTAATCATTATAATAATTTCATTTGTGTGAGTATAACTTTTACAAATATTTACCTGACATATAAAAGGGAAAGTACTGTGCATATAAAATTTATGTAGATGATTATTCCACACAACACAATCCTGATAGCAGTAGTCGGTGCAGCATTCGCTCCTTGGGACGACAGGCTCCTCGCACACGGCTCGGCGCCTGTGGGGACACGGCAGAAGCACGTGTGCGGCTGACATTGACTTGTTGGCACATGAGTACAAATGGGCATCTACTGGCAAACACACGCTTGCTAACAGCAACACTGAAAGGTTTACTGCTGCCTCTGAGGTTTAAAGGAATGCCTGGATCCTGTCCCCCTGGGTGACCAGGATGGCGTGGAAGCCGTGCATGTGGCCAGTGACCCGCAGGTGGCCCTGCATCTGGACTGGGCGCGGTCCCGGAGTTCACATCCGTCCACGTCCACGTGGAAATTACTGAGAGAGCATCTGCTAACAATGGGACCAGGAGGCACTCTGTGTATGTTTCAGATACCACTGAAAGGCAGAGGGGGACAAAGTGACACCTTCACGGCCCTACGGTGAAGAGTGGATACAGGGGGAGTTCAACCCACACCTCAGCTCTGTGCCTGGCCTCCTCCACACGAGTTGGAACCATTACTTGGACTGCCACAGGCCAGCGTCACACGCGACACCTCCATGTTAGAACTATAATCAGAATATATATATATACGTAATAGCTGTAACCATATTACAGTTAATAAAGTCATTCCTTAGGAATCTTGTTTGTCCAAATCTAACTGCATGCTAAGAGGCACAGAAATGGGATCGCATTTGGACGAAGAACTACGGAAAGTGCAATCTTTAGTCTCCGGAATGCCGGCTCTGGGCACAAGGGCGTGGGTCTTCCCTGGAAATGCTGCCATTGACATCATCTTCCAGGGAGACCCTTAGAGAGAAGTGTGTAGTGTATCAGTTCCTTTACCTGTACTAGGCGGGAGACTCAAGGTTTGAGAGATACATTGCTCTTCCAAAGCCACTGGAATGTGGAGGCCAGTCAAACCTTTTTGGAAGAAGTCTCCTCAAAATGCTACTTCTTTAAAATCTTTGAAGAAGATGACTTCTTAGACCTTTGGCTTGGCATTCTGGGATTCCCAGACTATATTTTATTCTTTAATAAGCAAATAATAATCTGTTATCTTTTAAATTCTTTAGAATATATACATCTTTCCTTTAAAATCCTTTGCCTAAATCATTTACTCTTTCAACACCTAGTTTCTCTCGTAAGCTCGCACGGTCACAGACTACAGAGGAACGACAGTCGTGTGCACGACTTGGGAGACGGCTACCAGTTGTGGTGGAGAACCAGAGGAAATAAACAGGGAGCATTAGAGCTTCTGCCCCCCAAAAAAGGGAGTGCTGAATCATCTCTGACCACAGCACACCAGACTTACCAATGCCAGCTCTTTAAAACTCTATTCTGAGCTGCAAAGCCACCACTGGGTCCTCCGCTACCTGCCTTGACTGAAAATGCGTGCTTCACTCTGGCTGCTTAGTCAGCCCAGGAATGTTCTGGGCACTTGATGCTCCCCGTGTATAAACAGTGCTAATGCAGGGCTGTCTAATAAATAGCTAAGTATCTGTGTGAGGGTTGCACAAAGTGTGGGACAGGAAGGAAGGCTAACTGGCTGGAAAGAAAATTCAGCCTGAGCTAGCCTCCAAAATGAAACGTAAATCTCCCCTTAGATTCCATATCATTCTGGAAGGCTGCCAGAGCCTCAGAGTTTTTCACCATCATGTGCTTCTGCACTTCCTAATTTGGACTGGGTCTGAAGAAGCTAGAAACCACGTGAGAAAAATGGGCTTCTCAATATTTCCAGAACAGTTTTACAGAACAAAAGGTTTGGACAGGTCACTTCACCAGAAGCTTCTCCAAATAAAGTAAATCTCAGGAGGGCTGACCAACCAAGTGACAAACTGTTCAATCTGTCTTATACTAAATCTTCCCATTAAAATACTTTTAGATAAAGACTACCTATCTACACTTTGGCAAGGTCAAAAACTTGAGAAATAGCTCTGGGTTCAGAGTCTCAACAAGACTGATCACCTAATACCCCCATACCTATCTGGGACAGCAGCTTCCTTTCACCTTCCCTTCCCACTCTTGTTAATGGGGTTTATTACCGCCCACCTAACAACTCAAGAGCCCTAACATGCTTTGAAGCAAAATTCTAGGCTATGTTCTTACTCTTTAGAATTTTGTAAGTTTTTTTTTTCTCTTGCTTATTTTTAAAGAAAAACAAACATACTTCTTTCTGCCCAGGATATGCTCTCGATGTACCAGCTGAACAAGCTACATTTTTCTTCTTGTTGGAGAATATCCACCTATTAAGTGAGAAGGAAGAACATTCCCTTGTAATGGCCGTTGGCTGAGAAGCCACTGGCAAACCTGGCTTAACCAGGGCCCTTTCGTGGTCCTTGGGCAGCAATCTCACTTAACTGGGGTCTTTTTAGGGGGCATCTTCCACCAGCGTGCTAGGGAAGGATTGTCGTCACCTTGGTTTTAACACACAGCTACTTTTTTTACATACATAAGAAGCCTAAATGGAGGACTATGGATTTAGAATGGAGACCACTATAAAAGCCTTTCGTGCTTAAAACAGATCAATATAAAACAAATAAACGTGGATAGCTCAGCAAAACACAGCAGCAAAAAGGTTTAGCAACACTTCTTTCTGCAAAATGCAAAGTGAATTTCCCTAGTAGTGGAGGACTGAGAGACATCAGTTCCACCAACTGGAGACACTCATACATCGTGGACACTGTGACTACAGCATCGCACTCACACTGAAGCACAGCGACTGCTTTCAACGCCCAAATGATTGTCAAGTCACTTCTCCAACCACAGATCACTTCAGTTGTTCTTTTTTTGTACAAAATATTAAGACAGTAGGCTTTAAAATACAGCCTAAGCACCAATTACGATAAATGCATATTGGTAAGACGTGACTTCTAGCTTTAAAAGACATTATGGACCTCTCTGGGGCTAACGATTGCACCATGTGAATAGTACACTGCTAAAGAAAAATGCATTTTTCAAGATCTACAGAGGTTCTCCACTAGGCACAATTCATTGCTGAAGTTGGATCATGCAAGAGTTTTTACAAGAAAGGTACGAAAACTTACATGTACTGAATATAGTGCATATCACCATGAAGACTTTCAGGGTGTAAGATTAAGACAAAAGAGTGCTTTCAAACACTGCATGGATTTGGTTCTGCCCACCAAATGGAAGGGAGTTCACTTGTGTTACATGGAAAATGTCCGTCTTGGGGCGAATAGTCCCATCACCCTGACCCATGTCCAGGAAGAACTTGAGAAATTTGGTTTGTGAGTATGGTTTTGCTCCCTGCGCTCCTCTCCTCCAGGATCCAAATGCTCTTTGTTTAACAATATTCAAAATGTGCTGATTTTTGGAGTGGCTCACAGGATTTTTATAGCCCATTTTATTAAACACTCTATTAAGTTTGAAAGGATTTTTTGCCTTAAAAAAAAAAAATCTGAAGAACAATGCATCGCACTCATAAAAACTCAACTGTTTCCTCACCTAACAATCACTAGTAGGGTTACAGTTACCTTCTAACTCAATGAGATCGCCTAAGCCTTTTACAAGTAGATTTTCTTTGTATATTTCAAATAGAAAGATGATGAAGAGTCAATGCTGATTTTGTAGCAACAAACAGAAGCAGAGGAGATAGAACGGCTCTGGGACAGACTTGCCAAACCTTGGCTTGGAGGGAGTCCCGCCAGCGCTGCCCTTCGTGCAGTCTGGGGACTGACCCCAAAGGGGCCACACATGTCAGGGCTGAGGAGTGTTCAAATACCAGGGCAACGAAACACTGTGGCAAAAAGTCTTCCCCAGATGTAAAACCCGAGTCTGGGGTCGAACTTCAATTCCCCAAATTCTGAGGTTGGCATTCTGGGCCACGACTCTATCTCAAAACAGGATTTTACATCTATGGAAATACACTCTTGTGTGGAGAAGCTCTTATTTGACTCTGCTTCAGAGGAAAAAACAACAGCATATATATAAGCATATATGTGTATGTGTATGTGTGTGTAGAAACAGGTACTAGTCCCTTCTTGTTTATAAACTAGAAGTAACAATAGGCCAAATTATTTCCTCCCTCAAATAAAACTACCAATGCTGAATGCTAAATTTAAAAGATGAAATAAATAGGTCACTAAAAAATTCAGACAGCTGGTGGACAGAAGATGATCCGAAACAGGAGCCACAAAATCCCAAATTTAACGTGCTTGGAAAAGAAATGACGACTTTTAGAAATGGACTAAAGATAGAGAAATCACGACCCCAAACTTAGCAGCCTGACCAAACCTGTCGGCGGACAATGCTCAGACACCACTCCTCCTGGGACCGTGCAATGCTCTAGGGTTCCTTCCAGGGCTGTTGTGTTGGCAGCAAAGCGGGACAGGCAGCAGTAGGCATGTGCTTTTTAAAGTTTTTTTTTTTTTTTCTCTGCAAAGGGACAATTATTCCTGGATAAGGCAAGATAACTGTGGTTAATAGAAAAGCAGCCAAATGCAGATCTGCTGAGCTAACGGGGGGGAACTCAGTCTGTCTTCCCCAGCTTTGCAATCAGCTCGTCGCAGATTTTCGTTAGTTCCTCGATTTCTTGGTTCTGAAAGACAAACGACATGGTTGTCGGCCACTCCGCATCCTGAGATCAAGGCAATGACAACTAGTCCCAAGACCCGCTATGCTCTGCCTAGACATCCTAGCTCGGTGGTTCGTAACTTTTCTATATCAGAGACCCTTTAAAGAAAGGGACCCTTCTCCCCTGAAAAATGTTCATGAGTTCACAACGTCATGCTTCAGCTGAGCAGGGGATGAGGGTAACCACTGGCCCTCTGCAGCTTGCCCATGAACCTCTTAGTTCTCAAATTTTCTTGTTATCACAGGAATCATCTACGATATTTGTTACAAACACAGGTACCTGGGACCTCACTCAGCCCATCAGCACCTCCAGGGACCTGGAGTCTGAGTATGCCAGGGAACAATGACCCCATCACAGAAACCCTTGTTTTAGCTAAAGGGATGCCATAGGCATGAGTACATAATTGAAGATACAGTAAGAAAAACACCAGAGGCACACACAAAAATGAAGTCTAAGAATCAATAAATAGTGAGAAATAGGGACCTGATTTTTATCTGCCTGCAGCAGAATTTCTCAACCACGGCGCCGCTGACATTTTGGGGTGGGTCAGTGTTTGTAGTAGGGACTGTCCTGTGCATTGTTACATGTTGAGGGGCACCAGCTGTGACAACTTAACATGCCTCCAGACGCTGCCAGTGTCCCCAGGAGGGTAAAAGTGCAGTGAAGGGGCAAGATGCTTTCGTGTATTATGCAAAAAAAAAAAAAAAAAAAAAAAAAAGGAAAGAAAGAAGAAAAGATAGCCTCAAGCCTAAGAAATGTCTGGTCCCCTAAACTTTAGTTAATGCAATTTCCTCTCTGCATCCTGCCTGGGGATGTTTCCGACTCATATGCTTGGGAATTAACAGTCTCCTTGCTTGTGTTCACCTGAATCAGTTCCCAGGAGAGCTGGATCAAAGTGTGGGCAAAAAGACAAGGCTTCTCTTTCATCCAAATCCACTACAAGCTAGCCACTGCCAAGGAGGAAAACCAAGTGCCTCTCTGGTTGTCACACCATACCCCTCTGCGTACCTTCTGCTGAAGGGCTCTTTCCAGGGACTCAACCTTCATCTGCTCCTTCCGGAGTCCGGCATGGAGAGCTGCACTCTCAGCCTTTGCTTTTGTTCGAACCTGAGCAATCTCTTCATTGGCTCTGTTTGTGGCATTTTGTTTGCAGAATAAAGGGACAAGAAGCACCTGGTTAGTCATTGGCCATAGCTAAGGAGTCAAGATGCTAACCGCTGACATTTGTGAAACACAGACTAAAAGAAATGACAACACAAGGGAAACATCGGTAACTTAAACCATTCAATTTAAATTTATAAATATTCAATTGACACACAACTGCTAAGGACATTTCCAAGGTGCAAACCAGTGGTGGAATTAATCTCATAGGCCATAGTGAGTTCAAAATTTATGTCATCAGAAAATGGAATCATGTGACAGTTTCTACAGCAATCTTAGATTTTTTTTTTTTTAGCTTAGGACAATAGCAGGCAGGGTCATCTGTGGGACTGTCACAGCTAGAGTCAGGACATGAACCACTGACATCTATGACACTAGAATTTAAAGTGACTTTATTAATGAGATACAAAAGAAATTTTAAAAACTATATGTCAATTGATAAATAGCCAATTAATTGATGACAGGATGCTAAGAATGCATTAGTCAGAAGCATGAAAATTTAAATGATAAACTTTTAAATTTATCAGCTTGGCAAATTAACCAGGATGATCTTATTCTGTGATGGCCGAGGTGCCAGGAAACAGGTTCACCAGCTGCTGGGGGAAGCAAAAGCTGGTGCTGTCTTTGTGGAGGGGATATGGCTGCAACTATTGTGATTTAAAATGCATACATCTTCTGACCCAGCAATTCCCTTGAAGTAACATATCCACAGCGATACTCCCACTTTGCACAATTGTGTACACAAGGATGTTCACATTTCATTGTTTGCAATGGAAAAAAAGTATGAAACTATCTAAACGCCCATCGGTAAAGGAATGGGATCATCCTACAACCTAATAAAAATAACTAGATGGAACTGCATGTTTTGAGATGGAAAATGGTCATGACATACTATTAAGTGAAAAAGGAAATGTGTATTTTATGACTCCGATATTATGAAAAAAAGTCTAAAGCCATTTTGGGTAGTATTTGGAAAGGCACAAAGAAAAAACTGGAAGAATACATTATAAACTTTTGGTAGCAGCACCTCTGGGAGCAAGAAGGAAAGAAGGGAACTTGAAATGATTTACAAATATGAAGAGAGAGAGGAAAATGTACAAGTAGGTATTACGTTTTAGTTAAAAAATAAAGTTGGAAGCATTCTTGAGACTATTCCTCAGGACAAATTCCAAATGTGCTGGACTTAAGGGTTAAAAGAAAATAAATGAAGTCATAAAAGTGTTAGAAGGAAAACATGGGAGAATATTTCATATTCAGCCCAGAGAAGATCTTTGTTACCACAACAGAAAATCCTGAGTAAAAGAAGTGACTGACAAACTTCACTACAGAAAAATAAATTCCTGCACATCAAAAAACACTAGAAGGCAAGAGACAAATTAGAAAAATCATTTACAACTCATATCACAAAGAGCTGGCCTCCTTAGTGTATAAATGTAATAATATATTTATATATATAATATATAAACTGACAATAGAAAACCGGGCAAAGAATAGAATCACTCACGGTAAGGCTAGTATAGGTATAGACAGTTGCTAAAATATGTTCAATTTTACTCATAAGATAAACACAATCAAAACTACATTGAATAAAATAAATGCTCTATTTGCTTATCAAAAAAAGAACCCCCCCAACTAAACTGAAATACCACCTTTATCAATTGGATTTGCAGAAAACCGAAAATGTGGTCTGTTGGCTAAGCCGTAGGGGGAAGAGAAGCTCTTGTACTTCATATAGGGATAAACTGATGAAAGCCGAATGAGGGCAATTTGACAACACTTATCATAATTACAAATTCGTATATTCTTTGGCCCAGTAATTCCTTTCCAGCATACAGATAGCTCACCAAATGCATGCCAAATGATAATAATCCAAGGTTCCTTATAGCAGCCCTGTTTGTAGTGGATGGGAAATAACCTGAGTGTCCCATAGAAGAGGGGTTTGGTTAAAGAAATGACACATTTCAACACTGGCACACCATATGGCTGTTAAGAAAAATACAGAAGTTCTTCATGGATTGCTATGGAAGGATTTCCAAAATGCACTGTTAAATGAAAAAAAAACTATGCTGTCATTTGTATAGCAAAGGGAGAGTCTTACCACAATAAAAAAAAAAACAACCATGGTGATCACATGGTGTGTTGGAGGTGTTAGTTAAGGCTACTGTTGTGCGATATATAGAGCAAATCAACAGGTTGTACACCTTAAACTTGCACAACCATTTATGTTCATTATACCTCCATAAAGCTAGAGGAGAGGGAGGCCAGAGGAAAAGGGATGGGGTGAGAGAGAGATAATGTGTACCTTTTTATTCTTTTTAATTTTGAACCATGTGAAGATTCTACCTATTCAAAAAAATTAAATAATAAAGCGCATGCATGAGCGCGCGCACACACACACACACACACACACACACACCAATGCAACCTGGAGTTGCCAAACAAGGTTGAGGGCTTTTTTGGCCTTTTTCAGTCTTCCCACCACACCATGAACCGTGAAACAGATTTACTGCAAGCTCTCACTTGTCTAGTTTTTCTTCTGCGTGGATCTTCAGAGCCTGGTATCGCTGTTCCTCTTGTTTAACTCTGGCTAAGTAATCCTGAGCACATTTTTTCAAGGCTTCTTCATTCTGTTCCAAAGTGACAATTTAAAATAAAAGGAACTGGTCATTTTATTTTTCTCCTACTCAGTGACAAATCATGTACCAGAGTTTTTTTAAAAACGAGAAAAGCTAATTAATTCAGATGCCTTTAGGTTATACTCCATGATAATTCAAAACAGGCACAACTAATTCTTACTGAAGAAATTCTAGATAATTTCTTCATGTATAAATTTTCAAAACATAGTAAGTTTCAGTTATACCAATACACCCAGTTTAGGGAGGCCGTCATTCAAAAGTGAATGGCAGGGGTGCCTGGCTGGCTTAGTCAGTAGACCACGTGACTCTTGACCTTGGGGTTGTGAATTCAAGCCCCATGTTGGCTATAGAGATTATTTTAAAAAATAAATCTTATAAAAAGAAAGAGCTAAAAAAAAAAAAAAAGGCTCAAAAGTGAATGTCAATCTCAGTCCCCTTTTAAGTAAGTTGGCCATTTTCATTTTCATTTTACTATGAAGAAAAAAAAAGAATTTCACTGCTATAAATGTGTCTTATTGATGGCATGTAAATAAGGTGAATAGAATCAATATGCCCACTTACATGTACATTTAAAACATTACACTTATTTTCCTCTAGAATATGTAGCCTGAATTTTTCAGCGCAAATATTCCCTTTTCTTATTTAAATTAAATTGGTAAATTACCAAAACAATTTCTAGAATTCTCCTAAGGTCTGAGGGTTCCACTTCTACTACACTCCATGCCACACTCTGGCTATGGCCTGACCCAGGAGGGGAATGACCAAGACAGGCCACCTGGTGGGCCAGATGCCTGAACCACCACAGAAAGAGAAAAGGGGACAGAAAAACCAGCCTTCCCTGGAACAGAAGATACAAGGCCAATGAAATACAGACCCCAATCACCTATAGGTTAGCCACATGTTTGGCATATATGTTTAAAGTTCCATTACTGAGAAAATACACTACTAAGGAGACAAAAGGAAAAGGACATGCTACCTTCTTGAACCCTTCCAGAACACCTTTCAGGTTCTCGTATCTCCTGAAGAGATCAGAAAGGGACCTTTCCACAGAATTAAGGTCAGCCAGGGCCTGCTCCTTCTCCATGGTCAGTTGCTGGAAGCTTTTCTGAGAGGTCATAGTTGTCCTCTGTTCATCTTCTGTGAACCACAATCAAAAGTAAAGGCAGATTCACACAACAGATGGTTATCAGCTGCTCTCTGTGAGCTAAGCCGTAGTCTTGGTGGGGGGACCCAACAGTGGACATAACAAAGTTCCTCTCAAGGACTTACGTTAGTGGCAGATTCAGATAGTGACAATGATGGGGGAAAACCAAAGCAGAAAAAGAGGTCACTCTATTTGCTTTTTCAAATAGAGTGACCTCTCTCAGAGGAAGGATTTGAACAGGGACGCAAAGAAGCCGAGGGTGGGAGCCATGCAGCTACCCAGGAGGAGAATATCCCAGCAGGGGAACAGGTGTGGCAAAGGACATATGCTCAGAGGCATGAGGTGATATGGACTGTAGAAAGTATGATTTCAGTGCTTAAGTAGAGAAAGATTCAGGTAGTCAGTCAGTCCTGACAATACTGGCTACAGAGTTATCTCTAAATTAAAGGCAGGAGCACTGACCATCATCATTTTGTAAAAGGTATCAGTGCGTTAGATACAGAGAAAAAGTACAACTTGCAGCGGAGTAAGGACTGCACCCAAACGAAGACCCTATCCAGGAGTACTGTGATGTGGGTTGGCCATCAACCTTCTGGGGGCCAGGTGGAAGGGTTTTCACAAAATTCAAGCATTTGCTAGTCTCTACAATGAACCTAACCATGGCTGACGCTCATTACTTGTGGACTGTGTATTTGTGAATTCATCTACTTGCTACAATTTATATGTAAACCCACAACCAGTCCTTCTGCTACATTTCTGGTCACGCGCAGAGGGGCAGAAAGTGTCAAGTCACTTGATGTGCACATTCTTGTCTAAGGCTAAACCGGCCGACATGTTGCCTCCTTGTTTCATACTGTAACAAGTGTCCTTTTCAGTCTATTTAGTATCATGATTTTGTATTTTTGGGCTTCCTGTGGGTGATTCTGTTGCCTAAAATGGTCCCTGAGTCTACGTGGTGCTGAGGTGCTGTCAAGGGCTTTGAAGAGCTAGAAGGCTGCGATGTGCCGTATGCAGAAAATACCTTCATGAGATCATCTTCATTCAGCGATGATCTATAGCACTGCAAGCCATGAGTTCAATGTTAATGAATCAGCATTAAATCAAATGTCTTCAAACAGAAATACACATGAGACAAGGTTATGTACTGACAACGATGTTGTGACCTGAGGCCCACAGGAACCTCCCCTGTACTTCCCCTAAAGCAACAGCTCAGTATTTGCTATCTCAGTGTTTGTGGGAACTTTGTGTGACAGAACCACTGCAAACAGTGAGAATCAACTGAATCTAAAGGACGGACAAGTGGAAGCTTGAGTTCTGATCTGAAGATCATCTATGCAGGGACGCCTGGGTGGCTCAGTGGGTTAAGCCACCACCTTTGGCTCAGGTCATGATCCCAGCAGCCTGAGATGGGGTCCCATATTGGGCTTCTCCTGCTCTGCAGGGAGCCTGCTTCTCCCTCTCCCTCAGCCTCTCCCCCTGCTTGTGTTTTCCCTCTCTCTCTCTCTGTCGAAGAAATAAGGAAAATTAAAAAAAAAAAAAAGAAAAAGAAAAAGAAAAGAAAATCATCTACGGAACCTATGGCTCACACCACAGAAAAAAAAGTCCGGGGTGCCTGGGTGGCTCAGTCGGCTAAGTGTCCGCCTCCTAGCTTTGGCTTAGGTCATGATCTCAGGGTCATGAGATTGAGCCCCAAGTCCGGCTTCCCAGTCAGTGGGAGCCTGCTTGAAATTCTCTCTCCCTCTCCCTCTGTTCCCCCAGTCACGTGTATGCACATACTCGCTCTCAAATAATCAAATAAAATCTTTTAAAAAAAATGTTCTTACCAATCATTTGAGCAATGGTCTTTTCATATTCAGCCACAATTTTCCTTAAAAAAAAAATTATCAGAAGAGAATTTTCAATGGAAATTTGAGAAATGCTGCTCTAAACAATTAAACACATTAACAAACATCATATATGATGTTCAATGAATATCTGAGCGATGTTCAAATGAACAAATTTATATAACCCAGTTATCGGCTTTGGGGCTTTTAATGTTAATGTAAGATTTGTTCATTATTGTTCAAAAAAGATCTCTGAAGATTTTATGTTAACAAGCCTTTCATTCTATTTATTTTATTCTATCTATAGAAAATGCCCTCAATTTCTTTTTGCACCTCATGCAAATGGTCTCAAGGCAATACATTAATTCTGCCTAGACAAATCAATCTTTCACTAAATAAGGGGGTTCCCATTCTTGGGGTTTTTCCTAAAAAGTCTGATCTGAGTTCAGGCTTTCCTGGCCCCCATCCACTCTTTTGGGCAGTCAGTCTCAAGTTCTATTTTACTGTCCTAGTTCCAAAAGCATTTCAATTATTCAAAGACTTTAAAGATCACCCTGTCACATTAACCTTTCTTTTTGGCGAAGTGCAATGAAGTTTCCCTGGCCCTGTCCAGTGAGATAAGGGCTCTTCCTTGTGACCCCTCACTGAAAAATGATGGCTCCCCTGCCTGTCGCTGGTGGTGCCCATCACGTTGGTCCAAGTTTCTTCCGACGGCTACTGTAAGCTAAGGGCAGGGGCTGTCCCCTCCTCTCCACTACACACAGCACAGGACCTCACACCCAGTAAATACTCACAAAGCAAGTAATACAAGAGCTACAAATTCGATTGGGCATAATTAAAATGTTTCTTCATCATTCAAGTGCTGACTGTACAAGTATATAAATTATGCTTTTTCTTCTTTTTCCATACCATTTTTAGTTATTTCATAGCTTATAACTCTCCTTTCTAGGGAATGAACAGCAAAAAATAAAAAAGATTTCAATTTAAGATCAACCAATTTTGTTTCCCCTTAACATGCTTTTTATAATCTACTTGGTAGTTAGGAAATTTGAAGCCATCATGCATAACTGATTTTTAAAAAGTGTAACAAATCATATTGCCTCCATAACTGAATATGTCAATAAATCTTATTATTCTGTAGTTTAAGTGGATTTTTCACACAAATTGATGTCTCTTCAAAAGCTAAGAATTATGTGGGTTCTGCTTACTCGCAATGTTCTTGACAACCCACAAGAGGCTACAGTATTTGAATAACTGGTCAGCAACACTCATGAAATGACATTGCCAATCACAAATTAAGGTGAAATATCAATGCTGTCTAGTTCTCAACAGTTGGTTCTGTGATAAGCAAATACTGTCATTACTACATTTATATTAAATCTAACAAAGCATAATAAAGGTATCCAACCCCTCCCCCAAACCTCTCGTCTAACCTCATCTCCAAGACTTCTTGTCGGGTTTCTTCGTATTTTTTCTTCCATTCATTTGCTTCAATTTCCTTAGTGATTATCTAAATTATAATAGAGATAAAGCTTGGTTTACCTACTGAATCTAGGTAGGTAAACCTAGATGAATTTAAGTTTGAATTTAAGATTGGAAACTGAAAACACACAACCAGATCCATCCCAAGACATTCAAGCTACACTGGGAATATTGACCATCAACATCTGTGTATAATGCGCACAAGCATTTGGAAAAATGTCCTCTCTGCCCCATAGGATGGTGGAAATGTAGCCACCAAAGTAAAGGTGAACAGAACATCTCCCAGGAAAGTTCCAAGTGATAATCACCATCTCTAGGAATTTTACCCAGGTCCAGGGTCCAGGGTCTGCCTCCCAACTCTGCAGACCCAGAACCTTGATTCGGACAGGACACCAAAAGAAAAGCCATCAGCCTGGCCGAGACTCACCTTAATCAAATACTAGTTTTACTTAGGATAAGAAGCAGAACTATGACAGCATCGGAGCATGACAAGCACATTCTCCTTTACATAGATTTCTGAGCATGGGCAATAATGGAGTCATAACTAGGGGCTCAGAAGTTCAAAGCCTCTAGCCAGATGCACCTGTACCTCACTGTAGGCGGGCTCTTGCTCCTCAGACCAGCACCCAAATCCCTGTGTGGGACACCCTTACTAAATCATTACCTCAAACTCCATGTGCCTGGACAAAGCCTCGAGGGGCATCACTGTTCTTTTATTATACTTCTCCATGCTTTTTTCTTCCTAATTGATACATTCTTTATTTTGGTGCCTTTAATCAGAATCTCAATCACCTAGTAGCCAGCCCATCTGCTTCAGGCGTCAAGGCACATTCTTGCTCTGCTCCATTAAGCAGTCATCCCATTGTTTCACTCTTGGGAGGAAGATGAGGTCATTTTTCTCATTGACAAGATTTTGGTAGGACTTCCTCACCACTGCTCCCAAGTTTTGACTATAGGATCAGCTGACATCCCTCCTTATCAACCTAATGCTATTTTGTGAGGTTCTTAACTACTCTTATTGTATTATAAAAATAACATCGCTACACTAAGGGAATTTCCCTTCTTTAAAAAAAAAAAAGGGTGAAATCATCAAGAGACACATAAGGCAAACACATAAAATACAGCACAGAAACATAATGCGAGAGGGTAGTAACTGACTAAGAGCGCAGGACTGTGTCTTTCATTTTTTTCTGATCACCCAGGAAAGGCCTAGCAGTAATCTATTTTGAACAGAGGCTGTTCAAGAGACACAGGAAAGGAATTTAAGAGTGATCTGTTTAATTAAAGAATGGATCAAAGTGGGAAGCAATTTTATATTATTGCAAGTCTGTTAAATGAAGGCACTGATTTAGCTACATATGTGGGAAGAGTTGGCAGAATTCGACATTTAAAAAACTTCAAGGCTGAAAGATAAAGAAGCGTGGTTAGCTTTCTCCCTGGGACTACTGCACTGATGAGAGTTTTACAGGGAGCCCTTTCTGTGAGCTACACAAGCTGAGGAAATAAGAACTTCCAGCTGGGGATAACTCAAGCCAAACAGAGATGGGATCTCCCTGTGGGCACATGGGTTTCACAAAGACAGGGAGTGATAAGTGGACAGAACACGAGGACCTTTACCTCTTCTCTGATGAGGGTGAGCACAGCTGTCTTATCTGATTCACTGAGGCAGATGCCATCCAAGGGGCTCTCTCCTCCACAGGCCACAGACACGGGGGCCTTCTCCAAAGAGGACTCCAACAGTCCCTGAGGGGGCAAGAAGTTACACTTAATACCTCCAGTTTTCAGATTGCCAACCCCAAGCATCCTTCAATAACTTCCTCGTTACTCAATTGATTACAATGTTTAAAAACATCTTTGAAGACAAAAACACAGCAGGGGAAGCTTTCAAGAAAAAAAAATTAAAATAAAACCTAGTTACAGTAATACCTAAAGGAAAAAGTACTCAAATGAATATGGGGATGAGGGGAGCAAGTTAACTTCCATTTAACAGAGGGCCCAGTGAAGTTTTCTTCTTATCCAAAAAGGAGAAAGTGCAATTATCACAGTGACCAGTCACCGAAGAATCACATGCATGAAAAGGAAAAATGTCTCATTTTTCAGGGGGTTTCTGGGGATGATGCATTCCATGTAACTTTTCCCAAAATAAGTATCAACTTTCAAACACTGAAATAGCAACTTTTAAACATACTGATACTTTCATGTACCTCTTTAGTCACTTTGGATGGAAATGTTTCTAAAATGGACTAGTAACTCTCAGGCCTCAGGAAGTAGAAATGGTGCACACATCTGAAGGCTGATTCCCCTGCCCCTAGCCCCGGAATGATTCAGGGCCACCAGGAACTTCAATTGCTCTGCAGTGACGTCTGGCCCTGACCGAGCGACGCCATCAGGTGGGCAGCGTGAGTGGTCCCTGTACAAAGTGGCCACAGGTAAAGCCCAGATCTATGCCTGCACTTTCACTTTTTTGGATTCTTCCTGGCTGTTAAATTTTTGATGTCCTTCTGATGCAGCAGCTTGCTTTTATGGTAAACTCAGGTTCCAGAAAGCCACAGTGGTGACTATTTTTTCACGTGAACGTGGACTTCATTCTCTGCTCTTTCATACAAGGCATTTTGGGGGCTACTTCCTCCCATCTGTGTAAGTAAACTTTTTTGCATAAATAGGAAAAAAGCTGTTCTAGTAACATCAAAAATGCCAAAGTGACCAAAGTGACCTGTCAATAATCTGAACACTTTTAAGAGTCTGTACCACCAATCAGTTAGTGATTGATTATAATTAATCAGTTCTCTGGTGTCTTGTTTCAACCAAGACGGAACAGAAAGTCCAAAGCCAACTTAGACCAGCAGTTTTTTAAACTTTTCATGGTCACTACAACTCACTGTTTCCCTAGAAAATGCTAAAAAAATTCACACATAATTTTTGCATTTAGCTTCCTGTAGAGGGGCCCGATACAGAAGACCTTGGCTCAGGCCATGGAAACAGGAATGCGAAAGCCACAAGATGGCAGCCCCCGTTTCAAGCAGCATCTGCAGGAAAGCAGCCCACCCTGCTGACAGGAGTTCATGGTCCCCCCCAGAAACACTATCTTGGGGTAGATTCATCATTCATCATTCAAAAGCCATTTGTGGGCAGCATCAAACATGGCCCCTGATGATGCCACCATCCTGGTACTCATCCTCTCATGTCATCTTGTCGCCTTGAGTCTAGACTGGACCTGGGGACTCACTTCTAAAGGGACTACGGTAAAAGCCATGGGATGTCACTTTTGAGATTAGTTTATGAAAAGACTCCAGCTTCCACATTGTGAAGAACTCTCTGTGGAGAGGCCCATGTGGCAAGGAATTGATGTCTCTGCCAACAGCAAGCGAGGACCTGAGACATGCCGACAGCCTTCTGAGTGAGCTTGGAAGTGGCTTCACCCTAAACTGAGCCTGGAGGTGACCACTGCTCTGGTCAATACCTTGACTGCAGCCTGCGTAAGGTCAGAGGCACCCAGCAGAACCGCCCCAGGATTCCAGAGCCAGAAAGGAGGACATCAAAAACGGTCTTGTGGATAATGAATAAACCTCTGAACATCTGAGTCAGCCCATTAACATCCTGTGCCATGCTTCTCCTCAAGAAACTTTCTCATACTCTTGCTTCCCATGTAACTGGCCTACAGGGAGGTAATGCTCTAGGTCAAGCTGACACATTTGGTTCACTTTGTTGTTAAATTTCTGATTCTAAGTTAACACATTTTAAAATCTCTCTTTTGTGTTTTTATTAATTGAAACCAGAATCCACAAGTCAAATCAATTCTAGGAAACAGCTCTCCTATGACCCTCAAGTTAGCAAAATTTTTATTTTGGGAAATAAGCCAAAAGAGTTTTCTTAGTAAGGAAAATATCAGTCTGTTCTAGAGGTTGGCATCTCATTCATTTGTCGAGGGGATAAATGAGTTGTCTGCCCACCTGCTCAACAATTTAATGTGTCTGGAAGAGGCAGCATTCTGAGTGGAGGCAGGTGCTCAGACCTTAGATGGAGGCAGATGCATCCAGATGAGGTCTATCTGCAGCTTGCGGCCCTCCCCTGGTCACTCCCTTCCACCTGGCCATGAGCCGCTCCCCTCATGGCTCAAAATGCAACAGTTCTTACAAGAAATTTATGGCCATGGCCTATTTTAGCCACCTTTTTCAAGAACCCTAGGATTTACCTTTTTATCTTCTTTAGTCCTTTATATTGCTTATCAAACAGCATAGAAAGCCTACAGAATCTACCATCACAAAGAACCGACCAGATCATCTCATCCTGGGCCAGGCAGTCTATTATGTTTAATAAAGATGCTAACCCGATCAAGGAGTCCCAGCCTTCCAAGTGGTCTTGTTTCATGTCCCCTAATCCTGTTCCCTGTTCCCAAAGCATTCACAATTGAGGGCCAAGAAAGACCTGTCTCTAGGGAGCCTGCTTCTGCTGCTGCCCCTGCTTGTGTGCTCTTGCTCTCTCTCTTTGTCAAATAAATAAATAAAAATTTAAAGAAAGAAAGAAAGAGAGGAAGAAAGAAAGAGAGAAAGAAAGAAAGAAAAAGACAGACCTGTCTCTAGACAGTGGAACTCAGTGCAGTCCTGGTTGCAGACTGGCAGTGAGCACAGATGCCACCAAGGAAACCTCTCTGCTCATGTCCTTGCAGTGGAAAAAAGAGCACCATTAGTCTCTCACAGCAAGCTGAGCTCATCCCATCTTTTGTCCTTGAACCCACTTGAGTAGCACCATGCCAGCCACAGCACTCTAACAGAGACATCCTTGGAAAAAACAAAATAACTCAACTTTTAAGAAGTTCAACCCTTCCTAAAAAAAAATAATAATAATAAATTGATGGGCACCTAGGTGCCTCAGTTTAAGCCTCTGCCTTTGGCTCAGGTCATGATCTCAGGGTCCTGGGATCGAGCCCGCATTGGGCTCTCTGCTCCAAGCTCCGCATCAGGAGCCTGCTTCCCCCTCTCTCTCTGCCTGCCTCTCTGCCTACTTGTGATCTCTTTCTCTCTCTGTTAAATAAATAAATGAAATCTTTAAAAAATAAACATAAAAATAAATTGACCCCTAACGGAAAAATGCTGCAGACCAATAGCCGATAGGCAAGATGAGACTGCCCACCCACAACTGATTACTCTGGCCTTAATCCCTTTGCTGTGGCTGCCACCCTGCTGGCAACAAGACTGCAGCAGGAATGCACTTCCAAGAAACAGAGAGGCTTAAACAAGTGAATGCTAGACTAACCAGATTTCTTTTTCAACGTTTTGAACACTGCAATTTCCTTATATGATGCTTATTCCACATTCTAGGAAGTAGAAATTCATTGATTTTGGGAAATTCCACTGGGATTACTTTTAAAAGATCACAACAAAAGATATGTTCTTCAGCAGCTGGCTCCAAAGACAAGTATTCCCCATTTTTCTTTCTTGTTCAGTCTCCCCCGCCCCACTCTTCCTGGCAGCGTCACCCCACCTGACAGTGGCCTAGCACTTTGAGCTCCCATTTTGGCATCAGCACTGCCTTTCACCCCATGACCACTGGGCCAGTAGGTGCTCTCATTTTACGGATGAAGCAGCTGGGTGGCTGGAGGCTGAACCAGACCGTTCACAATGCTGGGGAAGCCACCTAGATCTGCAGCTGCACAGACTAAAGCTTGGTCCACTCGGCACAACCCACACCCATCATGCTTTTGCTATTTTTAGAAACTGAAAATACAAGAAACCACTCCCTTAGTACTTACAAAACTTCTAAAGACACTGGTTTCCCCAAGCACATAAGCAGGGTCTCTTGGTAGCGGTGTGTGTAGTGTCAGCCACTGGTGGGTGGGGACAGCAGGCATCCCTCCCACCCACAGATGAGGAAAGACAGGCAGAAGCCCATGAGCGGCTACGCTGGGATTAGACGACCTGGCTCCCAAAAGAGTGATTCTGTCCAGAAACAAACGTCACTAATGTGTGAGGCCCTTGCGGGGGGACAATGCTCCCGAGACCCTATGTGCTTTGTGTATATCTTCCTTCTACCCATGCTTCCACAGCCGCCCCCTTCACCCATCTACCTTCACATTTGCTCTTCATGTCCTCTAGGGAATCACTATGGGTCTTGGCCTAACAGTGAGTCCTGAAAACAATTTACTAGGACATGCAATCTGCGTTAAAAAATGAAATAGAGGGGGCGCATCGGTGTCTCAGTCAATAAAAGTGTCTGTTTTTGGCTCGGGTCATGATCCCACGGTCCTGGGATGGAGCCCTGAGTCAGGATCCTGGCTCAGTAGGAAGTCTGCTTCTCCCTCTGCCCCTACCGCTTCAACTGCTCATGCTATCTCAAATAAATAAATAAAATCTTTTTAAAAAATGAAATAGAAAAGAAAAATATCAGAATGAATCACATGAAGAAAGGTAGATAGTGTTTTGTGCAATTTGTTTTATATATATATATACGCACATATGTTGTGATGTGTCATTTATATATACATATTAGTCAAGATGCAAAATATATTTTTACTGTGAATTAAGGTAAAGGATGTTTCACTCAGAGCTTCAACTAAATCTTACAGCTTCAACTATCCTGTGTCCTAAAGGCCCTCAAATTATTAAAGATTCTATTTATTTTAGAGAGAGAGAGAGAGAAAGAGGTAAGGGCAGAGGCAAAGGGAGAGTGTCTAAAGCAGACTCTATTTTGAGCTCGGAGTCTAATGCAGAGCTTGATTTCACACCCCTGAGATCACAACCTGAACCGAAACCAAAAATGAGAGGCTTAACCCACTGTAATACCCAGGCGCCCCCTGGGTTGGTTTTAATAGATTTGAAGGCTGGGGCGCCCAGGTGGCTTAGTTAGTTAAGCCTTCGACTCTTGGTTTCAGCTCAGGTGGTGACCTTGGGCCCGGGGATTTAGGCCCGAGTTGGGCTCCGCGTTCAGTGGGGAGTCTGATTAAAGATTCTCTCCCTCTCCCTAACTCGCAAACATGCTCTCTCTAAAATAAGGAAATAAATTTTGGGGTGCCTGGGTGGCTCAATTGGTTAAGCGTCTGACTTTGGCTCAGGGCATGATCTCAAGCCCACCTGGGGCTCCCTGCTCAGTGGGGAGTCTGCTTGTCCCTCTGCCCCTCCCTCTGCTTATGCTCTCTCTCTCTCAAATAAATAAAATCTTTTAAAAAAATGAATATCAATCAATCTTTTAAAAAAATAACAAATAAAGCCAATCCAGGCATTTATTGAACTCATGCTATGTAGTTAGAACAGGCTTCTAGGGGGAAAAAAAAAAAAACAAAAAACAGCCTCTGAGAAATATGGACTTAGAAACTGGTCCAACAGAGTTCTCAAAGCCACAGATCTAAAAATTAACTTCTACAGTTCTGCTCCTCTTTCTGTATTCTTACTTTACTGATTCCTGTGCTCAGCAGAATTTATTGTGGTAGGTGCTAAGGTAGCAGCAAACTGACAGTCATGGTCCCTATCTTCACTAAGCTTATAGTGTTGGGAGGAAGGAAGGGAGAACAAGAAGTGACTCCAAGGGGTAGGTTCACAGAACTGAAAGAAATTGCATATGGTAAGGCAAGAGTCAGATGTGTGAAGAAGAGAGGAGACAGTAGAGGCTGGGGAGAAAGGCAGAGTCCCGGTGCAGAAAGTCACATCAGCCACTAGAAGAGTCTGAACTTATTCTGAAGACAAGGAAAGCCAACCAAGAGATTTAAGCATAGAGTAACAAGATCAGTTTGGTATTTAAAACATTACCTTGGGTTATGTAAAGGGATGAGAGAACAGCCTGGAAACAGGGAGATTGGTTAGAAAACTACAACCATATTTAAAAAGACTGGGGATGGCCACAGGCTGGAGAAACGTCAGTGGGTTTATAATATATGGTTTTTGGACATCAAAACCACAGATTTTGCTTGTGGGAATAAGGGGTAGAGAGGAGCCCTGGGCACCCCATGTTTATGGGGTGGCTTATCAGTAGCACTGACCACTCGGATATTCAAGAAAGGAACCTTGGGTGGCTTTCACCAACTTTCTCTCACCACCACTCCACCCCAGCTACCATGCACATCTCCCAAGTCACCAAAGAGTGATGGTTCTACCTGATAAATCTTTCTTGGCCTCCACCCCATCCTTTGAACTCTTACCCATCACGATGTTCCTTACTTAAAACCCCACAATAGTTTCCTACTGCTTCTACCATGAATTCCAAACCTCCTGGCACCATATCAATGCCCCCTGATGATCTGGCCCTCAGCTACTCTATGTAGACTACCCTGCAATCACATGAGATGACTAACACTTCTACCTCCTTATAGAGCCCATGCTTCTCACTCCCTGCCTTTGTGCAGGCCAGCTCTGCTGCCCAGAACTCCCCTCACTGCTTTATCTTACAAACCCCACTCTCTCTTTACAACTAAGTTCAAATGAAGAAACCTAAAACAACACTACCTTAACCAAGTGATCAGTTAATTCCACTAACTGTGGAATAAGTGGGGATCCATAAGGTCACTTCTGATGGCTTTGTAACCAAAATGCATAAACTGAATTTAATTATGAGAAACACTGGATGAACTCAAAATGAAGGATATTCTACAAAACACTGACCTGTATTCTTCAAAAGTGTCAAGGTCAGGAAAGACAAAGAAAGACTGAAGAACTATCACAGATTACAGGTGACTGAGAACCCGAGAACTAAACGCAACGTGGGGTTCTGGGCCGGATACTGCACCGGAAGAGGACGTTACTGGGACAACCAACATAATTCAAGTATGGCATATAGCTTAGATAATACTGTACCCCAGTATTCACTGATTTTGATAACTGTACTGTGATTATATAAAATGTTAACATTCAAGGAATATGGGTGAAAGATTTACAGGAATTCTTTGTACTATTTCTGTAAGTCTAAAGAGGCATAACATAATTTTGCTTTTAATGAGCTCAAATCCAGCTTCCCAGACACCTGCTGCACAGGTGGTCAGCCCTGGTTCCCGCAGCCCCAGCCCCCGCAACACACTGGATTATACCAGTCACACAGTATCGTTAGTTTCCATTTTGTATCCACCACCCCTGCTGTTCAAAAGAAATACAATGCAAGCCATTGGTAATTTTAAATGTTTCTGTAGCCATTTAGAAAGTAAAAAGATACACGAGTGAAATTGATTTTAATAATATAGTTCAGTTAACCTAATATATCTAACATATGATCATCTCAACACGTAATGAAAATAAAAAGTTCAAGACATTTTATTTTCCTTTTTTTTTGGGGGGGGGGTCCTAAGTCTTTAAAGACTAGTCATACTTTACATTTACAAGACATCTCAATTCAGACTAGCTACTGGTCAGGTACTCAGTGGCCTCATGAGGCTGGTGGCTACTGGATAGATCTCAGGATAGACTACGAGCTCCTCGAGTGAAGAAACCTTCATTTATATCTCAGTCTATCACCAAACAATGACTAGAAGTTATTTAAAGACTTAATGTGGGTTTTAAAATAAATACTAAAAGAAACAAAAAACAAACCTGAGCCCCACATTTTCCCAGCCCCCAACAGGAGTAACTTACGGTCATGGCAGATCCATCTTTTTCCATCTTCTGGCAGGTCTCTTTCTCTACGCCTACAACACAGAGAGTCATTTTTATAGTTATCCCAAAAGTCAGTTCCTGTGTTTCCTGGTGAAAAGACTCTGGAGACCCCAGTGCAGGCCCAGAGGGACATCTATGAACCCATGAACAGCATTTCCAGATTTTCAAAGGAGCACTGGCACTTTGTTGATGGATGTGTTGTCTGTGTTAAAAGTCTGAAAAACTCAGAAGGGGTGTGTGCGGTTAGCCAGCCATACACAGGAGCACCATCTTTAGGTGGAAAGAATAGCAAGGCTGCCCCCTTGTGTCCGTGAAAAGTTTTGTAAGTAAGTTGTTACTATAACCATGGGACTATGTCAGAAAGAAGAAACCACAAAGTGAATGTTATTTTTCTAAGCAGGTCTGAGTGAATTTAAATTCGAGCCCAGAAGGGTATCCTCAGACTAATTAATGTAGAAGATAAAACAATAAGCTCTAAATTCCAGTGCCTGAAAAACTAAATTCCTTCTCCTCCCATTACGCTTTCAAACTTGTCTCCAGTCTACCTTCCACTCTACAACCACCAAAAGCAACATTTAAGGAAAAAACAAACAAACAAACAAACAAAACCCATGCTTTTTCTAATTAAAGGAATATGCACTCACTGAAGAAAAATTTAAAATATGAAAAAGCACACAATTTTAACGCTACAATCCATGTAGCAACAATGAATTACTACTTTAGTGCACTATCTAACAGTGAATTATTTACAACACAAATGTGACCATCACCACTCTGCTTACAAACCTTCAGTGGCTCCCTTTTACCTACAGGATCAAGTCCAGATTCCTCAGTGTGACCTTGTTTTCCCACTTGTCCTAAATTCAGAGAACTGCTGAGCATTTACCAACATGGCAGGTTCCTTCCCACCCCTGGGAGAGATTCTCCTTCCCTGGGGCACATCTATGTATGTATCTAGCAAGACCTGGCACAAAGGGGATTCTCCCCAGGAAGCAGACTCTGATTCCCCTTACAGGGCCACAGCTCCCTTCCCACCTCCACAACGCCTACCACCCCTGCATGACCGCAGCTTCTGCTTGCTCCCAGGACACAACTCATCAGTCACTTATGCTGAAGCACTAGCTCTTCACTAACTCCGAGGACAGCACTGTGGTTAATGGAACCCCAGCTCTGGAAACTTCCATTGGAGGAATTTCCTCCTAGTGATGAAGAATATAATCCATCAAATATCTACATGCTCCTATACCAGAGGAAATTCAAAGATGAATCTCTCATAGTCCTTAACCTCAAGAAGTTCATCAAAGACACCGGCTATATGAAATACATGGAGTACGAGTGGTAGGAAGAAATGTGGTGGTAACATAAAGTATGTGGAAGCCAAGTCACAGTTTTGACAGAAACCTGAAAGAATGGATGGAATTTTTATAGAAGATGGCAAAGAAAGGCATTTCAAATGTAGGAAATAATATAGGTACAAGAGTGCTCAGGATGATCCCTGGGCATGGTGTCAGAGCAGAAAGCAGCCTAGGAAGAAACATGGAACGGTGCCTGGCCCGTTTACTCTACAGATGGGAGATGAGATGTGGGCAGTGAGGAGAGGCTGAGGGAAGAACTCTTGCAAAGTCTAGACTTCCACCTGCTTCCCTGGTTTGATGACATGTTGTGATTTTTAAAATTCTAAGTACAAAAGTCCCCAGATCAAATTACATTGCTGAAAATCTGAGTTTTTAATAATGTTTACGATAGTCAGGAACATGGTTCTAAACATCTCACAAGTCAAGTTTAAGGCCACAGATATAACTTGGGACCTGGACAAGGGCCTCAGCTCTAGAATGTTCTTACAAGTTCAACAGTAAGAAGCTTCCGCATAGGTTAATCTAGTTAGTTCTTATTAGAACATTAAGGATTTTTCAGTATATTGGTCAATTTCATTCTACCGCATTGGTGAACAGGAAAATGTATAATACTCTAGTCATGAAAGGACTCTCTTTCCAAGTTAAGCACTGTGGTTATGAGACCGTGAACCAGACTGTTGAGGTTCAAATCCTTGTTCTACAATTTGCTAGTCAAGTGACTTTAGGTGGCTGACTTAACTTCTATGTCTCACCCTCCTTCTCTGGAAAATGGGGAAAAAAAATAATAGTGACCAAGGAGTAACCAGTTAATAAATGTAAAGCACTTAGAACTTAGTGCCTGTACATGGGAAGGCACTATACGTGTTACTGTTATTTCTCTACGCTGAACCACCATCACCACCACAACATGGCTACAGGCCACTATATTTTGAGATGCAGTCCCATACAATAAATTACTCAAAATGTAAATAGTCTCATACATCAGTGTCTCCCGTGCATTCTGCCACACTCATCCCTAGGTCTCCGGCACTTCGACAAGACACTCTCCTGCGCCTCTTTTCTAAGTACAGGAGACAAGCATAGATCAGCAACCTCCATCTATCCTCCAAGAGACCCAATTCTCTAGTCTCTTTAAAGCACCTCCTACATTAGGCTTTCAGGCATTTCTAGGCTTATGTACATTAGAAAGATGAACATACACTTCCATACCTGCTTCTGAGGATGAAAACGCATGATTTATGGTAGACACAGGAACATTGGAACATTCAAAGTACTCCAGGTCTTCCTCTGGCTCACCTTTCACCTCGGCCCCAGCTGATTTCTGACCAGATGAAGTGGACGCCAGTTTCTCCTCATCAGTAGCGTGGCCATCCCTATTAGAAATGTCTGAAATCTGGGAAATCACTGCTCCTTCATCCTGGGAAATGCAACAGATCAGGTGCTACCGTTTAGGAGGATCAACAGTGGGGAAGGTGACGTCTCAGCCACCATTCCACACCTGTGTCTGATAAGACTTAACCACAGATTTTGCTACCAATCAAGGAGGAAGTTGGGGTCTCTCAGTCATAGAATACTATGCTCTCAGGGCGCCTGGGTGGTTCAGTCGTTAAGCGTCTGCCTTCAACTCAGCATAGGTTAGTCTAATTAGGTCTTATTAGATCCCAGAGTCCTGGAATGGAGCCCCGCATCAGACTCCCTGCTTCTCCCTCTCCCACTCCTCCTGCTTGTGTTCCTTCTCCTGCTGTTTCTCTCTGTCAAATGAATAAATAAAATCGTAAAAAAGAAAAAAAGAATACTATGCTTTTTCTAGAACCTAGCTTCTGTTATTCACAATGAGGTCTGAAAAATTAACCTTTTCTAGCCTAGATTTATAAGCAAGAGTTTTAAGCAGTCCACAGTGGTTTTCAAATATTTTGCTCATATACCCCCTGAATTGTTTTGGAATATCAATGTATCCCACTGTATTTTCAGGTGACAGACAAAAACTTTTCAGCATAAATATTAAAAATTGCAAAGGATGTAACACCTGCTATACTTGAAAAACCGGCCTTGCTTAATACAATCTAGTTACTCTAGTGATTTGATGATGCTTTATCATCTATTTAAAATCAAACATGTACACACACTCTTTAATAGCTGTAGTAGTCAGAAATTTGCATCATTGTTTTTCTTCTCTGAATTTTCATTTCCCTTCTACTTCCACCAAGAAATTATCCTTAAAAAAAGCATTTGTATGTTTGAAAGTCTTTTAAAAGTTCTCCCTATAATTTTTCTCAGTTAAAAAGTTAAAAATTTAAAAAAACTTTTATGACCATAAGTCTCTAAGTATTAACATTTCTTCTGCAGAGTTTATCATTGGAATCAACTAAGGCATAATTTATCATAAAATTATTACATTTTCATAAGTGCTATCAAATACAAAAGTTTTTGCTAAAAACAAGTAACAATTACATTTTGTTGTACCAATTATTTAAAACTTTTACAATGTGGGGGTGCCTGGGTGGCTCAGTTGTTTAGGCGTCTGCCTTCAGCTCAAGTCATGATCGTCAGAGCCCCACATCAGGCTCCCAGCTCAGTGGGAAGCCTGCTTCTCCCTCTCCCACTCCCCCCTGCTTGTCTCTCTCTCTCTCTCTCTCTGTCAAATAAATAAATATATAAAATCATAAATTTTTAAAAAATTAAAAACTAAAAAAAAACTTTTGCTGTGTGATACATTGTTATTTTTCTGAACTAAACCAAAGGTAAACTTTTCACGGTTCTTATTGCCTGCTTTAGCTGCATTTGAAAGTGGATACTTAACATATTTGTAATGGGTGAAAAAATAAATGAGAAGGCAAATCATTTTTTCTTAATCTTCAGCCATGTACCAAGTTGCTGGTACAAACTATGTAAAATAAGTCAAATTTAAAATGCATTTTATTAACCAATGAATGTATTTCTATAATCACAGTTATGCTGAAATAACATTTTTTAAAGGGTCTCATCACAATCAAATGGGTCTGGATTTTTGTTTATTTTGTGTTTCCCAATTCATAGAGCCATGGACAAATATTTATTGTTAGAAAAAAACAAGGATCCCTGTGAATTTTAATTCTGTTTTTCATTTTTATAACTATAAATCAATAAGAAGTCTTAGTTAAGCCTATTTATACAATTAAATGAAACAGAAAGAAGTTTTGTAATAGAAATGTCTCTCAATTCTTGGAACCCCTTTCCAAGTTATGTACCAAAAAATTCTATCATCAAAAATTATTTTGAGGGGGGCTCCTGGGTGGCTCAGCTCCTTAAGCATCTGACTTTGCCTCAGGTCAAGGTCTCATGGTCCTGGGATAGAGCCCTGCTCCTGGGATCCCTGCTCAGTGGGGAGTCTGTTTGTCCCTCTGTCCCTACCCTGGTTTGTACTCTCTCAAATAAACAAAATCTTTAAGAAAAAAACATAATTGTTTTACTGAGATATAATTGACATATAAATTGTGTCAAAGATCATTTTTAATGATCAGATAACAACTCAGATTTTCCTACTTTGCTGAAAGCAATGAATTGGGAAACCATCTGACTTAAAAAAATTTATTATCCAGTTATTAGAGTCCATCATTTTCTTAAAACATGTACCAATATTTGAAATCTGCCCTTTGTTTTGTGTCCCAGATGTTTCATACCCAGTGAAAATGCACCTTAGTAAGATTTAGAATGAGAGGAAACTATCTAGAAGTAGGACAAGGGTTAATGTGATGCGGCTCCCCTGTTCTCAGGAGCCTTCTCAGGTCACTTGAGCAAGTTAAGAGTCTGGAAATTGGTTTCCTCAAAGTCAGATATTCAGACACCCATTGGAAACTCTTCATTAATCCCCCCAGCTCTCCATGGCCCCCAGGACACAACTCCAGTTTGCGGGACCCATGGTCTAAGAGACATTGGTGATGGGCAAAGACTCACCTGAGAACACCCATCCAAAGCAAGAGACTGTGTTTCATATTTCTTCACCTTACAGCCACTCCTGGAAAGGAAAAAAACAAAAAACAAAAGACAAAAACATGCCATTTTGGAATCCCATTGACAACTTCCAAGCTATGAGATGGAGCAGATAAAGCAATGTGTGCAGAGAAGCCAAAGCATACAGCACCACACACGTTCTACATCTACACATTAGAGAGGGGAACACCTTTCACGTCTCTGAATCTTCTCCTGGGAGGCAGGGCAAGCAAGGAACTATAGCTCAGCTCATTCTTGGAAAAGACCTCCTCATGGGCTTCTGTGGGACGTTTAATACCAGTACTCTGACCCCCTACGGTTTCTGCTTACACACCACCAAGCCTTTCAGAGGTACCCTTAGCACCTAGAGACATTCCACTCATCTGATCCTTACTCACTTGGCTTTGACATTCCTTGGAAAAATTACCACACTGGACCAGATTCTTTAAAAAAGTTCTTTATTGCACTAAAAACCACAGACGTCTGATAAGACAGTTCCAGACCTGTGTGCTAACAAAGAAGAACTATGGTCAATGAAAAGTACAAAAATAAAAATATCTGTGTAAATGGTTACCATTCCTATTAAGCAGTAAGATGGAAAATGAATGTCAAGTATTTGTGCAAAGATTGGACGTGGGGAAAACTCCAACCACCTGTTATTTTTTAACTAGCACACAATTTATGAACTGAAGACTAGGTCCCATTCTGTTCTGTTTTAATGAACTTAAAATTTCTAGCAAAAAAAGCCACTCTGAGAAGATAAATGAATAAATTTACAACTTTCTTTTTCTTCTTCTGGGGGGAGGGGGAAGGGAGGAGCACATAAAGCTATCAGAATGTGCACAATCACCACCTAGTTTCTGGATTTTTTTTTTTTTTTTTTTTTTTAGTAATGCTCTTACTAAATGCCACCCCTGCCACCAAACCACCAAACTAGAGTTGCCTCTAGAATGTATCCCCTGCTCCAAGCCAGCAACCTTATCCTATCAAAAAAGTCAATTACTTCTAACAACAGCAGAGCAGTCCCTCAGACCACTGTTGGGATGATGGCCAAGCCAGCGCTCATTATCAAAGTGCCACATGAGGTGTGCCAAGCCAGGGAGCAAAACTCTTGCACCTAAGGTGGAAGGCTGAGCTCCACTCCTTTAGGTACAAATTGCAAGGCTAAGCTGACTCATGAAGTGGCAAATGAAATGCAAAAAATCATCAGAAGGTCAAACTCAGAGACAAGCCAACATGCTATGGAGAGATGGTCTGGGGAGAGGAACTGCCACCAGTCCCAGAGACAAACAGAAACAGCAGGAGTACTTACAACAGAAAACAGAGAAATTTCACTTGTTCAGTAGTCCTGATGCACCAACAAAATTAGAGACAGAAAAGAGACAGACAGATGGAGAAAAAAATCATGTAAAGCCTGAAATATTTATCTGTAGTCAGGCAGATGTAAAGGCTGCAAAATTCTTTCTATGAGGTGGGATACAAATAAAAATGTCATACTCAATGAATGTTATCATTGGTGAGCAAATGATTATCAGGAACCTCTGTCTGACAGATAAGAGTAGTAGAAACACTCAGAAATGCCTCATATTCGAAGTTATAGATGAAAAGTGAACTTCCAAATATTTATCAATATTTAAAACCAACATTTCACTACTGAGAACATTTACTCTTAAACGTCTCGCCATCCAGATTAAAGGCAATGGGTGCATACAATAGTTGACAATGGATCAGATTATAACTACTGTAGATGTGTATCCCTAAGAAGCTTATGGTGACTTTACATAATTCATCTTATTTGAGCCATAAAATACCAGCTGTAGATGGTACAATGTCTCCACTTGACAGAAGATTCTGAGATGCTAATTGCATGCATCTTTTAAAAAGCACCACAAGTAACCTGCTAGCAGAACTTCTAACTTTCCACTCGATCCTACTTCCACTGGCACACTCCAGCCTTTCCTACCGATGAACGGATTTTCTAAACAAAACCCCAGTTACACAAGAGGTAGAACATCCTCTCTTACAGAAAGAACAGGGAGACAAGAGTTCTGACTGCGTAAGAGTTTAAAAAAAAAAAATCTATAAGGTACGGTAAATCAAGAAGCTCACTCACCAAGAACAGAATAGGAGGAAATGCTTCCGGGTGAAGGGGGCAGGACTTAAAAGGGTACTTCTCGCTACTGCATATCAGGTGTAGGATAAACTCCCCTCCCTTTGGTCCAGATTTAATGTGATCTGACACGAATGCACTGGCTACACAGCTTTGACATGCAACTGGAAGGGAGGTCCCCCGATGACTCCTTATCCACCCTGCTAGCCAGAAGCCCCCCATATTTAAGACATCCCACATTACAAAGCACCAAGGCAATGACGGGGCCAACACATACCCAAAGCACTGAGTAGACAGCGGTAACTAACCTCAGTCACAGAGTAGACCCTGAGGTTGCCCAATCAATATTTTCCAGCAACCACTTAACTGCTCATATATCATCAAAGAACAGTTCAAGAACTACTACTGACATTTCATTCACTTTAGACATTCTGGGAATGCTGAGGAACTGATTCTCATGGCTCAAGCTTCTTGGTCCTGATACTTTCTGCTCTTTAAACTTTTCTAATACAATTCATCATGCCATCTAGCATGTTCCATCAGGCCACAGTAAAGCTTACCATTACTTCCCTGACTCATCTATGGTGACAGCTGGAAATAATGGTTCTTCTCATCCTCTCTTTTCACATTTCATCCTCCATGTCACTGGTCCTTCTCTATATCTCATTTTTAGTAAAGCGTCACAGGGTCACAAAGGGATATATTGTCATCAACTCAAGTTCTGAGAACAGATAACCTTGAAGCAAATTTAAACTGAAACTTTACATGGAATACAGCTTGATCACTCCGAGAACTCCAAGGACCTTGCAAAAGTGGTTACGGAATGGTCCCAGAAAGTGGGGGAAGGGGAGGGAGACAACACACAACAAAAGACTAATTGTCAGATTGACACGAACGTTTAAAATGTTCTTGATTCTCATTGGACATTTACTGCCTTAATGATGGAACCAGAAGCTAAACACGGAGATATATGAATTCTTACCAACTTTTAGCGGTAGGTTTGTTTCCAACAAAAATCACAGCTTCCTGTTTAAAGTGAAAGACTTCTAGAAGACCTTTCGGGACCATTCTCCACAGGTTACTGATAATAGACAGGTAATCTGGAGGCTTGGAATTTTTTTTTTTATCCATAGAGAATCTGAAGGTGGTGGCTAGCACTGACAGTTGAATTCTGTAAAGTAATTCCTGACAGCCCAGATAGGATTTCTGAAAACCATCAAATCTCTACCTATCGTACACTATTTTTTTTTTTAATAGGAGATAAGTACCCAAGGTGTGGAGCTGAATAAGCTGAGGGTTCAGAAACAAGGCAGACACCTGAAAAGGAAACCTCTGATATTTCTGACCATACAATGGACTTAAGCAAAATAGTGTGGACTGCCGCACAAAGCTATGAGCTGTGTGTCTGCCCTGAGGCACCTCAAAGGTAACTTCCGTTGGCCAAACAGAGCAGCGGGCTGCCAAACTCAGAGAGTACACAGAACACAACACCCACACCCGTTGTCACTCACGTTATTAAACGCGACTTTGCCTTCTTGGGTGATTCTAAGATTTCATTAGTAAGATTACCGGCGGGAGAACAAAAGTCACTGCTTGCTAATGTTGTAGTTGGTTTAAAGGGATCCATGGATTCATCAAAGTGGTAGGAGCCCTTAGAGGAGAGAGGGGGGGAGCTCTGTAGAGTAGAGTGGCCCCCAAAGGGATTGACGTTGTGGTGGTCCCACTGGCTGGGATCCAACTTAGCTGATGCCTGGGAAGGAGGAGCACTGTGTACAGTGGGCTCTGCAAGCGGGTCCACACCTTTGGCGCCCAGCGGCTTACTAACGCTATCTTTCTGTACCTTGGGAGGCAGTTTGCTACCCAGTTTCCTGCCAAGCTTCCTTGGAAGGCCCTTCCTGGACTCTACATTTTCCACGTCTTCTGTGAAATCAAACTCTAGTTTCAGAGGTGAGTTCCTTGACTCCTCCAGCAACTCAACTCCTGAATCGTTGGTGTCACTGCAGGGAGCGCTCGCTGTTTCCTTCATATCAGGGGGAGATTTCTGGATCCTGGCACCTCCTAGCAAAGGATTTGTGTTCCCATCCATCTCATTGGGACAGAACTGATAGGATGCCTGGGGGAGAGACGTGCCTTCCAGGGCAGTATCAGTCTCTAAGAATTCGCCAATTGTCTTCTTCCTCAGAGAGACGGGTTTGGGTTTTCTTAGCCTGCTTCTGTTGGTAACAGGCTCTGGACAGGAGCTGCCAGCCTTTAGGTCAACTTCTGTGGAAGCCTCCAGTGCAACCCCCATGGTGCCTTCTGTCATTGCCTTGTCCAGGATGGCTTCTGGTACGCTGGAGGGCAAAGCCTCACCCAAGACCACAGTTACACAGCCATAAGCGGCCTTTGTTCCTAGAGCTGCTGGGATATCCGTGACATTCTTGTTTTCTATTGAAAATGGCCTCACTACTGAAATTTTGCTACTCTCATGTTCAGGTTCTTCTTTGAAATCCTTGATTGCGTAAGAATCACCAGCCTGCTGTACTACCTCATTTTCTGAGGTTCTAGAGCAAGTCTCAGATGAACATTTTTCAACCACTTCTGCTACCAGCTGTTCATCAGCTTCTTGTGATTCTAAAACAAAACAAAAAAGCCATCTATTAAAGACTTATCTTTTTGACATGGGTAAATAATCTCTACCAGCTGAATCCACAGAGACAAGCAGCAAGTTCCTCTCTCTTTGCATTTATTTATTTATTTTAAGATTTTATTTATTTGATAGGGAGAGACACAGAGAGAGAGGGAACACAAGCAGGGAGAGTGGGAGACGGAGAACCAGCCTCCTAGGGGAGCAGGGAGCCCAATGCGGGGCTTGATCCCCAGACCCTGGGATCATGATGAGCCGAAGGCAGATGCTTAATGACTGAGCCACCCAGGTGCCCCGTCCCTCTTTGCTTTTATGAAGCAAGGTCAACGGAGCAGCCCTAAAGGGAACAGCCAGTGCTACACTCTAAAATCAACGTTCCTAGCCTAAATTATATATGTGTTTTATCCCAGTTATATAAACAGTAATGACAGCAAATAAAACTATTGAAGAAAGAGCTAAATAGACTGAGAGACTATTCCATAGTTTAAAATAACTGGACTGGAATGGAAAGAATGTTAGATACTGCCAGCTAAGGTAGATGGGTCAGATCTGGCCCCTGGCAGCTTCAGGGTCCAAATGCTATGCAGGAAGATTTTCATCTTTGGATGTCAAAAACAAGTATTCCCTCTTCCCCCAGAATATTGTTTAAAGTACTGAACTGTTTCAAAATTAATGAAAAAACCCACCATGGCCTACTCATGGCCTGGTCAGAAGAAATTCTTTGTAGACTTAAAAAACTAAAAGAATCAGGGGCTCCTGGGTGGGTCAGTCAGCTGGGCATCTGCCTTTGGCTCTGGTCGTGATTCCAGAGTCCTGGGATCAAGCCCCATGCCTGGCTCCTTGCTCAGCAGGGAGTCTACTTCTCCCTCTCCATCTGTCCTGCTCTCTCTCTCTCAAATAAATAAATAAAAATGTGTTTAAAAAAAGAAAACAACACAAAAATCACACACACACAAAAACCCTTGAAATTTAAAAAAAAAAAAAAACTAATTTGAAAAATCAGATAGAGAAATGGCTTAAAAAACAAATAGTCCCGGGGTGCCTGGCTGGCTTAGTTGATAGGGCATGCAAGGGACTCTCGATCCCAAGGTTGTGAGTTCAAGCCCCATGCTGGGCATAGAGCTTATTCAAAAAAAGAAAAATCAACTGGATTTAATAAAAATTAAAAACATTGATGTTATTTAAAAATAACAACAAATAGTCCTTTTTTTACTAAGACACAAATCATACAATAATAAAGTGATTTTCTTTAAAAGCTCTGTCACTAAGCTGGGCCAGGTAGTCTCGCAAAGCACTTGTGAATATAAATAAAGATCCTCTTTAACTTGGGTTTTATTAGAAGAAAAGCTGCAATTAGGAAGGTGTCCATGAGGGTATTTCTTTAAAGCACAAACTAAGAATGTGCTTTTCTGACTTAGATACCTGAAGTAACAACAGAATAGCAGGGGCAAAAACTGAATAAACTGGTACGATCATGGTATCTCATGATTTTAAGGAGAACTCTGAGGTGACCCTCTAATCCTACTTCCTAACCCCAATCCTAATCCAGGATCAAAAAAAGCTGAACAGCACGGGAAGAGTTTTTTAAAGCGCTCAGATTATTTTCACACGACTCCTTTATGATTAGAATTAGGTCGGCAGTGGCTCACAAACTGTTCTTCACATACGCTTCAGATATTCTACTAAGGTCCACTATGAGTTTTGTTTTCAAATAGACATTTAACTATTATTAATGCTGTACTTCTTAAGAATCTTTCAACATGTGGTATCTGGGAGTTGCTTTAACATATTCAAAAGAATTTTAAAAAAAAATAGAAAGTAAAGGGGCACCTTGGTGGCTCAGTTGGTTAAGTATCACATCAGAGTTGTGACATTAGGTTGTGAGATAGAGCCCCACAAAGGGCTTTGCGCTGGGCATGGAGCCTGCTTAGGGTTTTCTCTCCCCCTTCTCCTTCCGCCTCTAGGTAGCTTCAGGATGAGGGCTGGTCAGAGGAAAGGCCAAGCCAGGATGATGGGGTTGGAACTTTCAGGCCCACCCCATCCTCTCCTCAGGGGAGGAGAGAAGCCAGAAGTGAAGTCTAATCACCAACAGCTAATGATTTAATCAAACATGCCCACAAAATAAAACCTACATAAAAACCCCTGAACAACAGGGTCTGGGGGGCTTCCAGGTTAATGACCTCCTCAAAGTGCTGGAAAGGTGGTGCCAGAGAGCGAGGACATGGACACTCTGCACCTTCACCTCATTTGTCCTTCGCACCCTGAGTGCTGTGAGTCATTTCTAAGCAAATCACCAAGCCTAAAGAGGATGCTGTGGAAACCCCGAATTTAAAGCCAGTTCATTGGAAGTACTGAAACTTGATTTGCAACAGGCATTGCAAGTTGGGGGAGGCGGAGGCACACAGTCTGGTGGGAATGAGCATGTAATCTGTGGGGCCTGTGCAAACTACGGATAGTTAGAGCCAGGATTCACTGAACTACTGATGCCAAGTTGGTGGTGGAGAATCTGAGAACACACAAAACAAGAAATCTGTCTTGAAACAGTGAATATTCAACTGAGATAGCCACAAAGGCACCTGAGAGTTTTTAAAATGATGCTTTTAAACACTGCAGTATTTTATTTTTCCATCAAATGATTAAAACTCATGAGGCACCACTTCACATACTTTTTCTAAATTTTACAACTGCAAAATTAAGAAATTTGACAAATTGTGTGGTACTCTTAATAACTCAACTTTGAAACACAAATTTCCTTCTGCTCCTCTTTCAGGAGGAGCTTCCAGGACAGTTCAGCTAAAGTATATTTTCAGGTACTAAGTGTTTCAAAACTTCATTGGTCACTACTGACTTGTATAAATCTCAGTAATATATAACCCAAACACAAGTGAAATACACTGGTTTAGACTCCAATTTAGTTATTTTGTATTTTTCGATTTCATAAATCCCATTATTTTAAAAACTGATGTTTTGAATCTTTACAACTATAATATATATCACTTCCCACAATCTAGTCTTTTGATAAATAGTTCTATTTCTTTTACCCAAGTGATAAAATAATAATGAGATGATCTCATCTAGGTGTAACCCACTGTGGCATAACTGAGCACAGAGCAAATGCAACATGGAGAAGAACTGCAAGGGGTCAAAATTCTGGGGCTTTGGTGAGGGTAATGAATAGGAAGAGAAATACAGAATATTTGAGAAAGAAAATGGGGTAAAACTGGTAACGCTCTGTCCTTGGCTGGCCATAGGACTAAAGCTAATGAAGGTATCAAAGATGATTCATTAAGTTTTTAACTTATGGAAAGACAAGATTTATTACCATTCACTGACATTCAGAAAGTACTAGTAGAAGAGTCTGGGAGCTGTCGGAGTGGGGCCAGGAGTCTGGCTTGGACACACTGAGAACTGTTTGGGCCTTTGAAGTAGAGATGCTGTGTAGGCAGTAAGCTCAGAGAGATCTGGGATACAAACAATACTTGACACAATTGAAGCCATGGAGGTAGATGTGATTCCCTTAAAAGTCACATGGAAGGGGCACCTGGGTGGTTCAGTGGGTTAAAGCCTCTGCCTTCGGCTCGGGTCATGATCTCAGGGTCCTGGGATCGAGCCCCACATCGGGCTCTCTGCTCAGCAGGATGCCTGCTTCCCCCCCTCTCTCTGCCTGTTTCTCTGCCTACGTGTGATCTCTGTCTGTCAAATAAATAAATAAAATCTTAAAAAAAATAAAATAAGGGGTGCCTGCGTGGCTCAGTGGGTTGAAGCCTCCGCTTTCGGCTCAGGTCATGATCCCAGGGTCCTGGGATCGAGCCCCGCGTCGGGCTCTCTGCTCAGCAGGGAACCTGCTTTCCTTCCTCTCTCTCTGCCTGCCTCTCTGGCTTCTTGTGATCTCTGTCTGTCAAATGAATTAAAAAAAATAAAATAAAATAAAAGTCACATGGAATACTACATAATTACAAGTTATTTCCATTTTACACTTTTTCATCGTTGAGCCTCAGCATATTTTAAATCTGAATTTCTAATTTATTTATTTATTTTAAGATATTTATTTATTTGGAAGAGAGAGAGAGGGAGAGACAGAGCATGGTGGGGAAGGGCAGAGGGAGAAGCAGGCTCCTGCTGAGCAGGGAGCCCGATGTGGGTCTCAGTCCTAGGACCCTGGGACCATGACCTGAGCTGAAAGCAGATGCTTAACTGATTCAGCCACCCAGGCACCCCAAAGCTGAATTTTTTATAGCCAGTGTCTTTTATTTTAAAAAAAGCATATCTAGAAGTGATTAATCCAATTTAAGATAAAACTTCAAGACAAAAACAAGCTCATAGATACAGAGAGCAGATTGGTGGTTGCCAAAGGTGGAAGGTGAGTAAAATGGGTCAAAAGATACAAGCTTCCATTTATAAAATGCGTAAGTCATGGAGTTGTAATGTACGGTATGGTGACTACAGTTAATAACACGGTACTGCATATTTGAAAGCTGCTAAGAGAGATCTTAAAAGTTCTCATCATAAGAAAATAAACTTGAAACTATGTATGGTGACAGATGTTAACTGGTCTTACTGTGGTGATCACTTTGCAAAATATAGAAATATTAAATCATTATGTTATACACCTGAAATTAAGGTCAATTATGTCCCAATTTTAAAAAACTGAGTTTTAACCATCGTTGTGAACTAAGAGTAGTATTATTAATAATGGCATCATAGTTTTATATAAAATTGTCCAAAAATGTTTTACGGATACATATGAAACATGTATGACATGATTCCTGGAATTTGCTTTAAATATATTTAAGCAACAAAAGAAAGGGAGGAAAAAAGGGAATGTTGGAAGCAAGTTCGAGAAAATCTTGATAATTGTTTCATCTCGGCACTGGCAATATGGAAGTTCTACTTTTCTGTGTGATGTTGGGAGCTGATCACAATAAAAATCGGTTTCTTTTCTCTCCTAATATCTTCTCCTTGCCTTTGACTTGTAAATATTCACCAT